TGCTAATGGTCTCTCAAATGGATTTGCAAAGGTTAATGGTGCAGAGTCCTTTCAATCTGATCGCTGCACTGGAGCTAAAAAGAGGAAATCTGGTTCTGTTCGGAGGTTTAAACAGGATACTACCGCAGCTGTGATGGATGGTGTCCAAGATGCTGCAGTAGGTGGTCCGTTGGCTACTTTTGTGCAGGAAGGAAGTCACAATCATGAATTTGTGGGTAGTGACTTTGTTTTTAAAAACAAGTCTGATGATTCCAAAGATGCATATACAATTACACATATAGTCAAGCCTATGAGCTATTCAACATCTTTATCCAATGATATGCAGGACGTCTCAATAACCTTTCTTGCCAAGAGGTCTGTGACTTAAAACTTACATTCCTATTTTCTATGTTTGCCAGCGAACTTTCGTCACATATGTGTGTCATTGGGTTTCTATGATACTCAGAATGTGTAATATCTTAACATTTCATTTATTTCTTTGAACTCAAATTCATTTCATTGATATCAAACCAATACACCGTCACTATAAATGTGGGATAACATCAAGCTTCAAAAAATATTCTGCCAGCTATTACAATATGAGATATCCATTTACACAGACACATTGGAAGCAGAAGGAGCCTTACTCTGCACGGGGACTTATCAACCCATTAAAAGATTCTATTACTCTTTTCCTCAAAATCAGCCAAAAAATGCAAAGAGGGGCACCCTTCGGCAACTCCTTGCTGAAATCCTATTTTCTTAATCCCAACTCGCTAGTGTATCTTCCATGGCTCTATGTTGCGTCCATGCCTTATCAAAGGTATAAGACATTAGGGACCAAATTTCTGTGGGGAGTTGGAAGTATTAAATGGTCCACATCATCATCATATACCTTAAAAAGAACAACTAACTAACTATTATCTGTCTCCTACTACTACTCAAAATTTCCACAGTGACTATAGTGCTTGGAGTTGTACACCACATAAAGAAAGAAAGTCACTTTCTTAGGAGCATTTGTCTTTCATATAGAGCTCAACATGATTCTTGACTCACCAGCACCTCTTAGAAGGTTGTTGTATGACATCGCCAAATATTTTGTTGATGACCTGTTTATAATACTTCTTCTTTTACGAACTTGTTATAGTTGTAAATGCTTTGCAAAAGATTATCAGCGTCATCACATTCCTGGTCTTGGATAGGTCTCCTGAAAGTTGTCTCCAGGATACTTTGTTTCCGTCTCTTCATGTGAAATTGGAAATGCATCCTGATACGTTGTGATCATAAATAAACAAGACGACTGATCTTTCAAAGCTTAATTCCACACAAAACTACCAATTAAAATTGAACATGATTGTCATTCCCTATGGTAAACTCGATGTATCTTGTAAGCTCGTTCCATATCATTTTTTACTAATTGTGTGGGGAAAAACAAATAAGTGGAATACTCCACTTAATAAGAGCGTGTTTTTCTCCTTTTTACAGATATTGCATCGTCATCCCTCTTGTTCTCCTGCCAATTATCTGGATTGTTAGTTGCCATATTTTAATGTCTTTAAACTTTCACTCTAAAGGCAAATCAATCATTTGGTAGGAAAATAATCCACTAAACTTTCATCCTGAAGGTAAATTCAATTATTTAGTAGAAAGATAAGCCACTCTGCACCACACATCAAGACTAGTTCATGAGGATTAAGTTTCCTTTCCGGAATTTGTTTGTGTATTCTCATTTTGATAAGGACCTCCATGACATATAGAAATATCAGTGGTGATAAAGGATCACTGTCTTAACTGTTGCTGCTCCCAAGAACTTCAGATGAACTATAGTCATATGGGAATATCAGTGGAAAAGCAGTACTTTATTCACTTTCTTGAAGGTCCATTCTTGAGAGTTATACCTGGATCTAACTAGACCCTTTTTCATATAATAAACCAAATCCAATCTGACTTCTGACTCCTTTTGTATAAGCGATATTCTCTTTTGCTTTGTGCTTTGTGCTTTGTGCTGTGTTTTGCTCACCTGTCCGCCAAAATTGATGTAAGGAAGAAACTCTTTGTTATCGTCAGGATAAGCTAACAGTTCTCAAATTTTCAAATCAATTTTCAGAATCGTCCTTCTGTTGTTACCTTTATATCTGAACTGAATTGTAATACTTTAAGTTGCACTTTTTTTTTTGGAAGTTGTGTCTCCTGTTTGCTCTGTAACAACAGTATAATGTGTGCATGTAAGATGTTATGTAACCAGTGTGATTACACCCTTCTACTTCCATTCTTAATAAAAGGAGCATGAACTTGACAGTTTCAAGTTCAATTCTTGGCTTACCCATTTTTGTACACATCTTGCTAGATAATTCAATACTCCCTAACTTTTCAGTTTGATGATACTATGCTGATTCTTTCATTAGTTTTTAGTTCACATTATAGCGTTTCTTAATGGTTGTCTGCAGGTCTGACGGAAAGGAAGTGATGGTGGATAACAAGTTTCTGAAGATGAATAATCCACTTCTGGTAGCTGTTTCTCTTCTCTCTTATTGGTTCTTTCATCACCAAAAATGCACTGATCTTATATTTTCATATGGATTATTAACAGAAATTTCTCAGTTTCACATAACTTATTTTGTAATGGCTCAAAAGTACTACATTTCTTTCATAAGATATTGATAGTGCCTGGGAATATGAATTACGTAGTTAGTTTGATAAAGTTTATCTTTTCCTCAGATCTTATTTTTCTTATTAAAGTCTCACTAGTAATTTTGGATTATCACTTCAGATAAATACCTCAACATATTGTAATAAGTTAAAAATAAAATCACATCGTTCTATTTTGTAATTATGATTGCTATTTGATAAATGTATAAATCTACTTCTAACTCTAGTTTCAGAAAGTATTAGCTGAGTTTATTTAATTTTGAGAATCTAGAGGGAAGTTAACGTAATGAATTCCTTCAGCTTTACTTAGATGACTCTTACTGGAAATGGTTTTTTTCTTTGGCAGTTGATAAACTACTACGAGCAGCATTTGCGATATCATCCCCCTCAATGAGTTGGCTGCAATGAAGGAAAGATAGTTATAGGTCACTTAGCTTCATCTGTTGCCCTGTGTTATGTATAAAATGTTGTTGTAACAAGCTGTAGGGTGTTAACCTATTACATTTATTAGGAAGGTTCGTAAATAGCATGCTAAAATATATGTTGTGGGATACTTGTGTTAGGTTTAGTTGATTTCGCGAAAGACTATGTTTCAAAGTTCTATCTCAATGTATCAACCCGATACATGAGATGATGAGGTGAAAATGATGATATTCTTCTGACCTTATAGGTGTTTAAAACCAATGTGAGTTCCATTGATAGCTATACATTTAGATTCTGGAGTGCATGTTGCACAATGCTAACATGTCTACTTTATATTCTCCTGTTTTGATGTCAGAAAATTGCATTTTTTCCCCCTAGTCAACTGATATAACAGGCTAAGTGTTATTAGTAAGTAAAATATGGGCAACAGAGGGCCATCACCAATGGTTCCTTCAATAATTGTTGGGTTTCTTAGTCTGCTCATTTATTGGCCAACAATTTCTAGCATAGGTAGAAATGCTAACATTATTATTTCCTATCTCCTTGACACTTGATGTATACTTGCTGTCAATATTCATTCCTATACAAAATATATCATCTGCTACCTATTGGGAAAACAGTACTGGTTCTGTTACATATGATGGAGAAGGTTTGTTTGGGTTAGGGACTATGCTCTTAGTTATCCTCTTCTTCGTTTTGTACAATCTGATGGGATAAATTTACTTTTTATTTATTCTTCTTTTTTAATAAGATGATATAACTATAACTATCACTTGTGTTAGAGATGGAATGAACAGAGCGTATAGCAGATTCTTTAGACAAAGAGACCAAAATTTGTATTGTGACTTGTAAAAAGACTAGTTTACAATAGTAATATATAAAGAAAATGTTATGCTCAAAAGTAGCTTGTTTACTTTATTTTCTTCTGACTTTTACAATTAGTCTGTAAACACTAAAGGCAAAGATGCTCTAAGGATGTTTGAGTCCAAATATATATTCTGCAAATTTTAGGGCAAGGGCATCGGCCTATAGTTATAAATAAAATAAAAAAAAATTATCTCATTTTCAAACTAAATTATACTGCCTCTAAATCTACGATGTTACAAAATTGGATCCAACAGAATTAGTTAGAAATGTTGCAAAACTGCAAAAACACTGAATTTCCATCACATAGGCAAAAATGTTTTACTACCAAAGTGCTTGGAACATTATCCAATATTCCAAAATGTACACTCTGGACACTACTATTCGTTTTATTTTAAAATTAAGATGTCAAATCTAGATATATATATGTATATATATCTGACTATTAAGCTATTATCTCTAAATTTGAGTACGGTATGTATATGTGTGTATAGCTAATCTTTATCTAAGAATTAATAAATATAAAATACTAATAAAAAATAAGAATAATTAGGTATCGTATCTATAAAATATTAGAGAAAATACTAATATACATGATGTTGTAGAAACTATTTGCTTAATAACACACCAAAAAAGCTAGCGGCGGTGATGATCGTCAATATTGGTTGTGCGGTGATGACTAGGTGATGATGGTTGTGCGGTGATCTTACTACACAATTTTTAGTGATTAGATTCTGTACAATTTTTAATGGACACATATTCAAAGCAAATAAATAATTTTAAAAAACATTAAATGAGGTAAATTTTAAATAATTCAGATTTATTCATAATAGTAAAGCTAATTTGACTCGGCACGGAGTTTAAGAAAAAAAATAAAATTTTTGAAATTTATGATCTTAAAAAGTTATGGGGTAAAAGATTTGTGGGGCCATGATATTTGTGTGATTATAAAAGCTTTCCGTTAAGAATAAAATAAGTAAAATAAAGAGTTTAAAATTGAATTATTTCTAAATTTAAAAATATGTCATGTTTAAACTTAAACCTTGTCACATCCAATCGAATTAAATCAAAATATAAGTACAAATTAATACCCAATTTCTTCCGATAGAATCAAAACCCCAGCTATGACTTCCTACCCAGTTCCCATAAACCCGACCCAGACCCGCATAGGATGGATAGGCACAGGCGTAATGGGTGGCGCCATGGCGTCTCGCCTTCTCTCCGCTGGCTATGCCGTCACAATCTACGCCCGCAGTCCTTCTAAAGTTGTTCATCTTCAATCCCAAGGCGCCCATCTTGCTGATTCCCCAGCTGATCTTGCGCGTAATAGTGATGTTATTTTCACTATGTTGGGTCACCCATCAGATGTTCGACAAATTGTCTTAGAGGGTTTGATTTCTTCTGTCAACCCCAATTGCGTCATTATTGATCACACCAGCAGCCACCCAGTACTCGCTAAGCAAATCTTTGATGCTGCCCGTGAGAAGAATTGCTGGACTGTTGACGCTCCGGTGTCTGGAGGAGATATTGGGGCGAGAGAAGGGAAATTGGCAATTTTTGCTGGTGGAAATGAGGATGTGGTGAAGTGGTTAAAGCCTTTGTTTGATGTGTTGGGAAAGGTGACTTTTGTGGGTGGACCAGGAAAGGGGCAAAGCTGTAAAATTGCAAATCAGATTGTCGTTGGAGGGAACTTGCTGGGGTTGAGTGAAGGATTGGTGTTTGCGGAGAAGGCGGGGTTGGATAAGATGAAGTTTGTGGAGGCAATCAAGGGAGGAGCAGCTGGGTCTAAGGTTATGGAGTTGTTTGGAGAAAGAATGATTGGGAGAGACTTTAGGCCTGGTGGGTTTACAGAGTACATGGTGAAGGACTTGGGAATGGGTTTGGACGTTGGAGCGGAGCAGAGTGACGATGTTGTGGTGTTGCCTGGTGCTGCATTGTCTAAGCAGTTGTTTTCTGCTATGGTTGCTAATGGAGATGGGAAGCTTGGCACTCAAGGGCTTATTACTGTTATAGAGAGGATCAATGGCTTGGCAAGTGAGAGATCATGAAATATTATTACTCTTGTGGCCAATGGTCTTATTGACCTGGGCATCTTTTACTCTATCAGTTGCAGAAGTGGCAGCTATATCAGTGAGTTTGGCTTTGGCTATTGAATCTGTCCCTCAAAGATATTAAATTGAAGAATACGTTTTTGTTTGACAAAACTGTGCTGATATTGGCCTTACAACTTTTTGCTGTACTCACCAGAATTGGGCCACTATTTATTGACAATTGATAGCTTTAGCCTGATAACCTTCCATTTTATGGTGCCTATACTATTCAGCTATATGCTGTACTACATTTCAGTTCACGCTTGAACTGCACCATGCTATTTGAGATGATGGTATCATTTCTAAATTAATAATGCCACTAACAGTCTGGCAAGTTTGGTAATCTCAATTTGGATTTTCAGACCAGGCTGACTGTACTTATGTAGTATACCTGTTGTAAATGTTGACACTAGAATGATGAGGCTTATATCTAGTGGAAAGATAAAACTAGAAGGTATGCAACTTGGTTCAATGTTGTATATCATGGCCAAAATTAACAAAATGCAGTAAACTGAATCTCAAAAGCCAATTACTAAAAGACGACAACAACATTAAAATACCCAGTATTATCCCACACTCTAGGGTATGGGGAGGGTAGTATGTACGCAGACCTTACCCCTACCTTATGAGGATAGAGAAGTTGTTTCCAATAGACCATCGGCTCAGGAAAGCATAAGCACCCCATTAATGAAAATATAGACAAGAAGGGACGGTACCAAAAAGCCATATAAAAGCAGAATAAAAACAACAAGATAGTAAGGTGATCAACAATGAAAGAAAACGACGGTTAGTCATAAAAACCTACTACCAACAGAAAGCGATATTGCGTGCCAATACTACTGTTATGAACACTCTAGACTACCGACTCTACTACCCTAATCTTCGACTTTCATACCTTCCTATCAAGGGTCACGTCCTCAGTCAGCTGAAGTTGCGCCATGTCTTGCCTAATCACCTCTCCCCACCTCTTCTTTGGCCTACCTTTAACTCTCCGTACGTCCTTCAATGTCAACCTCTCACACCTCCTCACCGGGGCATCTGTGCTCCTCCTCACATTTCCAAACCACTAAAGCCGCGCTTCCCGCATCTTGTCCCCAATAGGGGCCACACTCACCTTGTCGCGAATAGCTTCATTTCTGATTCTATCTAACCTGGTATGCCCGCACACCCATCTCAACATCCTCATCTCTGTTACCTTCATCTTCTTCTGGACATGAGCGATCTTGACTGGCCAACACTCAACCCCATACAATATCGTTGGTCTGACCACCACTCTGTAGAACTTACCCTTAAGTTTCGTGGCACCTTCTTGTCACACAAAACACCGGAAGCGAGTCTCCATTTCATCCATCCCGCCTCAATACGATGTGTGACATCTTCATCAATCTCCCCATCCCCTGAAAATTAGACCCAAGTTACTTAAAACTCCCTTTCCTAGGGATGACCTGCGCGTCCAGCCTCACCTCTCCTTACCCTCCTTGAGTCTCGCCACTGAACTTACACTCCAAGTATTCTGTCATGGTCCTGCTCAACTTGAAACCTTCTGATTCCAGGGTCTGCCTCCATACCTCTAATTGCGCGTTCACGCCGTCTCGCGTCTCGTCAATCAATACAATATCATCTGCAAATAGCATGCACCACGGCACCTCCCCTTGGACGTGGCGCGTCAGTACGTCCATCACTAGAGCAAACAAAAAAGGGCTGAGTGCCGACCCCTGATGCAACCCTAGTAATCAAATATAATATCAAAACTTGGAGCAATGAAAACTACAGTTGTCAGTTCCAAATTTGACATCATTATAATTACCTTGAAATCCTTTGGTACCAGATACATTAACAAAATCACCCTCTTCGAACAACTCCTTAAAATCAATCTGCCGTGTCACCTCGAATCCATCCACAGCCAGCAGCCTAAACTCCTGCAAATGCCTTGAAGAAATAATCCTTCCAAATGCCCAGCCTCAGGCTTCGTAAGTTTTCTATCCCGAGACGACACCCAACTTGAACGCCATCGTATCCATCATTAGCCTCACTTTCAACCTGAGTAACAATGTTACCTTCGCTAAACTCAACCACGGTTATAGGTATGACAGTTCCAGAAGGTTCTAAGTAACTCATCTTACCTAGCTTTGTTCCCATGGCACCAACTCCGGCTTCCATGGAAGAGGATATTATTAATGACAAGGATTTTGAGATTTTCTGAGAGTTGGATATAGGAAGAATGAAGAGTGGAGGTGGTTGTTGATGGTGGTGGTGGGCAGGTTTTGCGACAGAGGGCCGAGGGTGGTGTGGTTTGAATTGTGGAGGAGATAAGTGAGAGGAGATTGAGTTTTGGTCTTATGATGTTAGGATAAATAACGTTGTTGAGACTTGAGAGTTCTTGTATATAAAAAAAATTGAGTTGAAATTGAGAGAAATAATATTGTGATACTACAGTAGGAAAAAGAAAAGCTAATGAGGGTTGAGTTGCGGTAGACATGAATTTCAATTTAAAAAAAAGTTTGCGAAAATTTAAACGCCCAAAAGGGCTCACTGGCTATTGTTTGGTTACTGGATAATTATTTTTACAAGAAGAAAAATTCACTAAAAAGGTAAAACGACATTCTTCATGTATAAACTGCAATGCCACATAATCTGCTTCAACAAAATAATTTTCATCATATTAAACACAGGTTGTGCTTGATCTCATGTTCAATGCAAGCAATGATCAAGTCTCTTGCTCGATTGCCAAAAGTGACAAATATGTCCAAGGGGAGACGTCTTCCTCTTAACTAATTACAAAAGATTGAGCACAATTAAATTAAAAGGACAAAAAAGAGATGCAAGACGTTAAGCTTGAGGGCTTACATGTCCTTTAGTAAACTTAGAGGGTTGAATCAGCAAAAATAAAGGGAGATTTGCTATTTCATAGTAAGACAAAGCAGAATGAAGAAACAATTCTCACCCTTCCGTGAGCTTTTCATAATTTAGTTTTTCGAACTTGGAAAATGCTCGATCAGTTGCCGTTAATAATCGATGTAAAATTTTATGATGCTTTCTTCTGCTCTTCACTATCTCTTCTACTTTTGAATCAAGGAAAACTAGAAAAACAACCTTATTAGGGTATACATCATCTTGCTAAAAAATCCAAGATCCCATCTACAAGGAACTCGTTCCGATATCTGCCTGGCTAGTAATAAGCTGGTAAAACAAAAGAAGGCTCATTCAAAATAAAATTTAAGATGGTAGCGACAAGCGATTGAATGTAAGCTTAACAGTCACTTACCCTATTTCTGAGCTCCATTCCATCAGGAATAACTATTTTCATGCCTGGTCTTGCAGCAATACTGACTTTCCCCTAAAATTTCAAAAATAAAAAGGATCAGGAAGTATTAGAAAGCATTTAAAAGAAAACAGACGCCTGATAGTTGTTGAGATATATTCAAGTAAAAGATTCCTGAATAGATTGCTTACAAACAATAGTTGAATCAAAGTAGAATGTCAACACGACAAAGGCATTTATTCCAAAAAAAAAAAAGGACAGGTCTCACAAAAAGAACAAAAGTAAGAACAAAAAATAAGAGAGGTATAATCCTGATGAGATTAATGCTTGCACATTTCTTACCTTGAGAGTTATGTCAGTTCCAAACCAAACATCCCCATTCACCTTCAAGCTATCAAGTTCTATAATGCTTGGGATCGACTTGAAACGACTATGAAAATCATTAACCTGATCAACAATTTATGTATGTTAAATATATGAAATAAATTGATAAAAGAATGTTGCAAAGATAGAGGAACATATTTACATTTCCAAACTCGGGTCCTAGTTCAATAGAAGGATCCTTGGGATTTGCTCTTGCTGCATTTCTCACCAAAGTGCCTTCAGCTGAGGTGTAAAGATCTGACTGCAGAATATAATAATGAAGCGAAAGTTAGTAGATCTAGAGTCTAATATCGTGGGTAGAAAGTCCAGTTAACAAAATCATCCCTTCAACCTGCAAAATGAGCAAATCTGATGTTCTTTCAACTGGAAGATATCTTGACGATGGACTGTCAATAGCAAATGCTCGGTCGAAAAACTGGAACACATGAGAAGGTAAGGTGACATAGAACATTAGAAAGAGCAACACAAAAACAAAGATTGGACAAGCTTCGATGTATATGCGTAACAATGTATTTCTACTTTAAGGTGTTATTGCTTCAGGAACATATCCTTTTGATTTTTGGATAATAATACCTTTGAACTGGTAAAACCCAGACCACTTCTCTGTAGTAACCTCTCAACGCAGCTCATACTCATCCACCTGAAAAGAAAAAAAGAGTCAAAATCTTTTGGTTCCTTTATCTTTTCCACCATGAAAGGAAAAAAAAAACTAAACCACTTACATTGTATTGATTGATTTGACACTTTCCTTTGACTTTGAGCCACCAACAATGAAAAACAAAAATACGAAAATAAGATTTGTCATACAACGCAAATCATTGCAACTATACTACACCGCATTGTAACAGTTCACAAATAAATAAATTTACAGGGTCAGTTGGGTGCAGGGATGAAGGCAACTGCTGAGCCCCACATACTGCTTTCTTGCGTTTTCTCAAAGCTTTCGAAACCGTGGTGGGGTTATTTATAACAGCTAACTTGGTGACTTGGTTCAGCTCAAGTATAAAATACGGACCTCTTGGGTGAAATTAAACGTTGTCAGAACAAGGAAATTATCAAACACACTGAAAGTTAGGACCATGACCAACCTGAATCCTCGCTTCCTGAGGCGGAAGACCCCTCTCTTCTGTTCCTGAGGTGGTAGGCATCACCTGAAATATTGAAATTATATGCAGCAGCAAGGAGGTACGAAAAAGAGCCGAAATTAGCAGCTGTTTGGTGATACCTCGACACAATGTTCTACGCTGTTCTTAATCAAATGACTCAGGATTTCTGAATAAACAAATCAAGGAGCTGCCCGAAACAATATCACTCAGAAGATAAAAGATTCCAACCTCATGAAGAAAAATAATAAACAAGTTATAAAACCAGCACAAGGATACTTGGGTCAACAACTTCAGCAAGGTTATCTGACTCCAGCAGAAGGAAATACTCCTTACCCTGTAAAACACATTGAAGTATGTTCCTTATTCACGTCCAAGTCAGAAAGTTTCACACAATTGAGAAATATATTTATATGTATATCTGCTGCGCACACATGCCCGTCGAAAGTCAAGAGAATCCATGCAATTACATGAAAGAATGTTCTAGATTCGTTCTATGTGTTTAGATCAATAGCATAGAATACTCTTCCTAATTCTATCATAGTTATGAATCTCAATTTTAGGTGATAATCCTCATTTAATATAACTCATTTTTCATGTAATAGGAATTTTTCTAGCTTAGAGTAGGCTAACCTACTA